TTATAAGGGTCGTTTAGTTTGTCGCATTGAGAAAAAAATCACCATATAAAATTTAGCAAACAACTAGTGTTGGCCGGATAAGAAAAATAATCATTGCATAACTTACTGCAGCGGTTGGTTAGCCTCGTGAAACTCCATGTTAAGTGTCCCCATTCATGGAGGAAATGCATTGTTGTCTTCTTATATGGTTTTGGGGTAATCCTCACCTCTTAAGTTAGCTTTTAGGGTTGAGCTGGCCAAGGTCCATTTCTTCTCATGTTATCAGAACCACATCCATTTTTATTCTTGGTTTACCCAATGTTAGGCCCACATGTTATATTGTCAATGGTCCAAATGTCTAGTTCTGGGCGTGAGGGTATTAAGTATCTCACATCGATGGAGAAAAACGGTTGTTATAACCTTATATGATCTTGGGTAATTCTCACCTATTGAGCTAGCTTTTGGTGTCATAAGTGATCTTAGAGTTATTGACAGCATATGTTATGCTTATAAAAAAGAAGCAAATTTGATGAAAAAAGAAGATGCCTTCATGTTGGTTTGATGCTATTTGGGGTCGTTATGGACAGTTGAGGGCATTTCATATTAGTGACGACTTCTTACATTTTGAGAGTTTGAATTTGACGAGAAAGGTATGAAACTAAAGGTATTCCTTGCTTAATGTTGACACTAAAAATCCTGTACTCAACAAAGACATCATCTTTCATGAAGATGATAATTGGAATTAGATGTAAAGTGCATATCATGCCATATACAACCAAGGAAGCAAAAGTTGAAGTAATATCATTATTCCTTCAATTTCAAATATCAACCCAGTTGAAGAAAACCCAACAACAGATTCAACTTCTCCTCCAAGATAAACAAAAGAGCCCGAGTGAAGTATGAGTCTTGAAAATTTATAACAATTAAACTAGAAATGGGGCAGAAGTAGTAAAAGAAGAATACTTACTAAAGGCGATGCAAGGGGATACACATGATTGACCAAAACAAAACATGGGGATGTTTATCTACCTCAACAAAGAGATATGAGTGCGTTGTAATGGATCTACAAAATACAGTTAGACAAAGAGGGTGTTTGCCCTAAGCTTATAAACAGGTCAAACTAGCTTATAAGCACCTTTTGGCTTATATACGCGTTTGGTAAACACCTAAAGTGCTTATAGTCAAGTGCTTAAAAACCAAAACTAAAAGCCATAAGTTGGTCACCACTTTTAGTTTGACTAAGACTTTTACTATTTTATCGCTAATGCTATTTATATGGAAACCCTTATTGAAACAAAACGCCTAATCACCTTTAAACTTCACTTAATCATCATTTTAAAAAAAAATCTCACTACGTAGTAATGTCGTCCACCATTGACAAGAACAATAAGAAGTTTTTTTTTTATAATCGTGGTGTCCGGGCCAGCTTGCGCGCACCTCGACTAATTCCATGGGATACCTGGCACCTCCCACCAGTAATAGGTACAAGGTAACTCTATCCACCAAGGCTTGGATAGATGGGAAGAAACCACCTACTGTATTTTGCCTCCGCTAGGATTTGAACCTCAGACCTTATGGTTCTCACCCACTTCATCGACCATTAGGTCACACCCTTGGGTGCAAGAACAATACGAAGTACGTTATCATCAAAACCAAATTGATTTGAGTTAGAAAATTCTCTTGTTGTTAATCAGCCTTCTGCATCTCTTTGTAAACGGGGTTGCATTGCAGCATTCAAACTTCTCTTTGCTTTGTATCCAAATTGAACCCAATTATCATTTTTTAGTTGCATAGTGTTTGTATTGCAAAATGTGGTTGTAATAATTAGATTCCTTAACATATTTTAGCTTCTTGTGGTATAAAATAAAATATATATATACACACACACACACACACATATAGTAAGCGTATCTAATCAGTTTTGAGTTAAAAAGTACATTCATAAATTAACCTATATTCGAATCAAGTTAGAATGCAAAATCTTGTATAACTTTATCTTTATTAGTGTAAACAGTTTTAAGAGCATTTAAGTCATTACAACATAAGAAAATGCTTGTCAGCACTTTACCAAACACTTCAACTGCTTTATTTTAGTTTCAGCATTAATATCCAAACACCTAACTGCTTATCAGCTGCTTTGAATCAGCTAAGCCAAACAGGCTCTCAAATGACTCTGTGCAGATTATAACGCAAAAGGTTGGTAGCAAGAGAATTCACAGAAAAATAGGGTACTTTGGCATTTACACCTATTACAGCAGGAAGCTATTTGATTGTTGATTTCTTGCTACTCAAAAGAAATGGTAGACTTTTCAACTTGATCTTAGATCTCCTAAAAAAATCTATGTTTTTAAGAAATTAATTATATGTTTTTAAGAAATTAATTATCTGAAATTTTTTTTAAAAATTTATGTTGACCAACCACGGGTCCAAAGAAGTTCCTAAAGCTTGAAATGATGAGATTAATCATTATCTCACCAAGGCTTTCAGTAAAGTAAATCTGAATGCAATTTTTGTGTCTTGATCAATGAGATTTTGGTGGTTATTCTCTACATCTATGTAAATGATTGGTTTCAGAATAATTTCAAGCAAGGTTGTAAATAGCGCTCGCTTCAGCGCTAATAACGTGAGGCGATGCGAGGCAGCAGCGCCATTTTCTTCTGTTGCGTGGTGAACTTAAAAAGGCGAGCGCGTCTACCTGATAGCGAGAGGCGCTGTGTAGCGACGCCTTTTTGAAAAAAAGAAAAGAAAAAGGCATCAGACGTCAGCGAATAATAGAAAAATTAGGGCTTGAGTTTGTTTTCTTCTTTCTCCTTCAAGCTCGTCAACCCACCAGATTTCTTCTTTCTTCTTCAAGTTACTTCAAACAGGTATGCTACTCTTCATCTCTTTTCTTCTTTCTTCTTCTCCTTTCTTCTTCTCGAGCAATGTCCATTTTTTTCTTTCTTTCTTCTTCTTCTTCTTCCTTCTTTCTTTCTTTCTTCCTTTTTCTTCTTCTCTTCTTTTTTTTTTTTTTTTGCTCTGTTGTTTTCGAGCACTGTCCTGCAACTGTTTCTTTTTGGCAGAGAGTTTCTTTCTTTCTTCCTTTCTCTTCTTCTCTCTTTTTTTTGCTCTGTTTTCTTCGAGCAGTTGTGGCCAGCAGATGCTCTGTTTTTTGAATTGATATATTTATTAATATATTATTGCTATTGAGTTTTTAGTTATATATATGTGTGTGTGTATGTGTGTGCAAATTTAATATTTATCTTTTTGTATTAATTGTCGCTTCACATAAAAGAGGCGAGCGATTCGCTTCTCGCCTCAGTGAAGCGGACCCTCATTGCTATTTGTCACCTCACGCTATCCAAAACACTGATTTCAAGCCTCATGAACGAATGTAGAAGTGACACAAGGAGTATGTACGAGATGGCAGATACATGACTCCTACATTATATTTCCAAGGAATTGAAGTGTCCCAAAGAAAAGAGAGGATATTGATTATGAAGCAATATCCTTATCAGTTCAAGATGGAGAAATGGAACACAGCTGAGAGAGGAACAAAAGAATAATGTGAAAAGAATGTGGTTACGTCAGTGTAGAAGACTGCCAGACAGGTTGTTATATCTAATTACTACAAAAACTTGCCTAACATTTGCAGCAAATTTGCTGTCCAAATTCATGCAAGAACCAATCAAAATTCGTGGATACTTGAAAGGTACTCGACTATGGAATATTATTTAAGTGTAGATGATGTGAATTTGATTGTTTATACAGGCAAAGATTGGGCTGGAAGTCAGGAGAACATGAAAAGCACTTTTAAATAAATATTTGCACTTGGATGAGGCATATTTTTTTGGCTATCTCAAAAAAAGCAAAGGTTGTTGCTCAATCATTCTCTGAAACAGAATATACTGCTGTATCAAAAACTCCATGAGTTATTTGGTTCAAGGGTTATGTAAAGATATTAATTATAAACTATAAACACGACGAAGGAAGTGTCATCCATGGTGAGAACAAATCTGCCACAGTCATGAGTGAAAACCAAGTGATAGTGGCTGAAGTAAGCACATAACCATAAAATATCATTTCATCATAGAAGTTTCTGAAAATGATTTAGTTTAACTCAAGCATTGCACAACTTATAAACAGTTAACTGACATACTAACCAAGTCACTCCCTAAAGAGAAGTTTGTCTACCTAAGAGATGATTGGAATCATGAAGCAAGCACATTAAGGGGGAACGTTGGAATTCATTAACTTCTTTTAAATAGATTCTCCTTTTTCAGTTTTCCATGAATTGAATTTATTCTTACAGTTTCCGGTGTTAAAGTTCATATACTATCAGTCTATCACACTAATCTAATCAACACAAATATAGTTCCAAAGCCGGAAAATTAAAACAGACAATTGCTTTACAAAATGCAAAAGAATGGATAATTCAGCATTGACGTACCTTAGAGCATGACTACTCTTCTAATTGTTAAAACATTTGCATGCACATACATACATAAATAACTGTTACATGACAAGGCACATTACAAACCCAAGAAAAGAGGATCAGAATATCATACCGTGTTTTACTTCTAATATCATGTAAACCACGTCAATCCAAAAGTATTTTAGGCAATGTGATGTACATATGTAGAATAGAAATATTCAAACCAAGAGGATTTGCCAAAGCATCTGAAATAGTAGAATTCACCTATACTTAAAAGCTTCAAGCTTATAGGAGAGATATTCATTCATATTCCTTTTTATATTATGTTTTCAACTTTCCCCTTGTGCCTGACCCAAATGATTGTGGGGCAAGCATGTGGAAGTTTTTCTACCGTAGGTGGCAATCAGACTTGGAAATCATTGCCACGATTAGCATATGTTATTTATATGACTCATGACTCACAGAGAAAGATATCTATTTATTTAGAAAACGTACTAGCTGACAGAAAACAATGATAACTAAGCCTATAAAGTAAGTTTTAGGCACAATAAATTAAATCCTGGAACCATCAAGAAAAATAAGCATAAGGTGAAAAGGAGCTAATGACCTTTGTAAAGAATTTTTGCGCATGACTTCTGATCTGCACGGCAGTTTTTGTTCCTATGTGTTCTGCACAATAGCAAAAGTATAAAATAACTAAACAACCACAAAAAGGCCTCAAGGTAGGAGTATACATAAACACATAACAGATAGAATGTTGACCCCAATTTCTGAAAGACGAGATAGTCAGTGGATTCAGCTGTAAGTTGATAAAAGAACAATATCATATGAGTTACCGGATTAAGTTGACTTGGAGCAAAACCAAAGACATTTCGCAAATACATGGACAAATCAGTTAGGTAGTCACAACGATATCTATCAGAAGAGTATAAATTCTATGTGCGGATAGCGTAAAAGTTATTTAAACGATCAGGTACTTGTTAAGTAATTAGAGGTAATCTCTTGATAAGGATTAATGGGTAATCTGCCAAAGATTGTAAGTAACCTGCTATCATAGGTTAAAATTTATTGACACTGTCAGTGTATATACCTAAGTCCTTATCAACGCTTAGCCTAACAGTTTGATTCAACTAATAAAATGAAAGAGTAACATATATCTGACCTTCTATCCGCTGCCAAGCACGCCCATGGAGTTTCAAGGCTTCTAGGAACCTATTGTGTTCCTCCTCTGTCCATCGCTCTCGTTGCTTAGTGATGGTATAAGGTTTCCTCGTCTGCCATAAAAAAAAGCCATCAGACTTGTATAAATAGCCTATCAACCAAAGTAGATTAAAAGGGAAGCCCTAGTGCAAAAAGCATCTTGCGTTCACGTAGGATCCGTGGAAGGGCCGCACCCCAAGGGCATGTGATATAGGCAGCCTACCCTGACGCAAGCGTCAGTGGCTGATTCCACGGCTCCCACCCGTAACCTACAGAGACAACTTTACCGTTGCTCCAAGGTTCCCCTTCTAATCAACCAAATTAGAGTAATATACAAAATATAGGGACCTTCACGACAAGTTCCTCTCCAGAGGAATAAGGGTCCATCAAAATAGAAGGACCGCAGTTAGCTAGCGCTGCTTCAAATCCTCACGGACAAACAGGGGATACAGAACAAATCTTCTTCTTCCAATTCTCCCCACAACATCAGTAGTTACTAGCAAATATAGTTTAGCCGTGGTGGTGTAGTACAAAAGAACCTGATACTGTAACACTACTGCAAAAGAGAGGTAGAACCAGTAACAAAAAGACATTGGATAATAATCCAAATGTTGTGTTTCCCCATATCAATTATAAGCATAAATTTAAATCGAAATTCATAAATATCTCAAACCTTCTTCCAGATTCTAAAAGATGCAAGTAATAACTGCTAATTAATTTTTTATTTTTTCTAAAATAATTCTTCAAATTAAATCAGAGTCCACCAGGATAGACGAAAATTCCTTATCCAGAATTGCTCACCAAAACGAACCGCATGTTGCCTAAACCTTTAACAAATCAATCAAAAACAAATAAACACAAGTAAAAAGAGTGAACTCAATCAGCTACTTACCAAATTAACTAAGCAATTTAGCAACAAAATTAACTTTAAAGCCGAATCAAATCTAAAAACCCTAGAGATTTGAGAAGTACCTTTGAAGAAAGCCATGTTGTTGAAAGAAGAGTCTAGATGTTTTTCCGCTCATGCATAAAGTGAAAACTCATCCACCATTTGTTGATGAAAAACACATAGTTTATCTATAAGAATGGTGGATCCGAGAAAACAAGTATACAAGTAAGATCAACTGGTGAATCAGCCCAAAAAAGGAGCAAAAAACAGAGTGGAGAGTAGGAAGAAGAAAAGTTGAAGAACTGTAGAAGAAAAGAGGTTTGAGCCAAAGGAAGTTTTTAATTTTTCATAAATCAGAGGAAAAATTCTCAGCCACTATTTTTGCTACTGGATTTATTTTTTAGAAAATGGAAAAAATAGAGGATATATATTTGAGGCTAGAATGTGCTAATGGCTGAATAAGAGAGAAATACATTACACGTGTCCTAATCGTAGTGGTGAAGTTTTAGTACGGAAGCCCTCATGGGTCCCACCTTGCACTTTTTCGAGATCAAGGTACAGATTGTAATCTCAGCCACAAACTCGGTGGACAGAACTCGGGACTGAGTGAGTGAGTTAACTCGCCGAGTCATGAAAAAAGGCAGCAAAAGTGCCTCCACCTAATCATTGTGGGACCTGCTAGATGACGTGGCATTTTGATGAAGAGCGCGTGTCTCCGAGAAGAGCGCGTGTTCGATACTGCCCATAAGTTCGTAAGGTCAGAATTGGCATTTGAGGACGTGGTTGTGAGGATGCCACTTGGCGACTGATTTTGGGTCGCGAGTCTTCTTTAGTCCAAAAGAGAGGTATTTATATTTTTATCTGTAAAAACAAATATTTTGTCTCTTCAAAAAGAAATTCAAACTCAGTAGTCGAAAAAAATTAGGCTCCTGTATCGTTTCTCAATTCAATTTTCATCATTTTGTCATGTTTATATTCCAACGAATCTTGGTAACAAATAAGAATTAAATTTTATTTTTTCAACTATTTCTTTTTTGGTAACAAATAAATCTAAAATTCGACTATTTTTTTAATTATATACAGTATGCTTTGCATTGCACACAAGATATAATAAGTGAAACATACAAAGTGACTTTTTTAAAGCACACACAAAGCCACAATATGTAGAGAAAAGAAAAGTAAAAACTTTTTGAAAATGACTAAAGAAAACACTTTTTATTAGATTAATACACCAGCTTAGAAGTCTCATTGCAATCTCTCTCACAAGTCACAAGCAGTGACTACAAATTCGTCTTAATTAATCCACGATCTATGAAAGTTCAACTTTAGTACTACTGTTTACAAGCTATCAAAATATTTCAGAAAAATATTCTCTCAAATTTTGCTGTTAATCTGACATGATTGCTATTGCGATTAACATGCATCTCTTACTTTAGTCACCTATTTCAATGTCCAATTCTCACTTTGCTCTAACTAGTGCCTATAATTGTGATCTTACTGCGTTATACTTAGGGGTCGTTTGGTACGCGGACTAAATTATGCGGGAAATATAATCCTAAGACTAATTTATACCACATGAGAGATGAGATAAAATAATCCCACATTTGATGGGATAAGGTGGAATAAGATAGGATATCTTGGATTAAGTTTGAGATTAAATTTATACCTTGTTTGGTTGGAGGTATAAATTTGTCCCAGGATAAATTTATACCGTCAACCAAACATAATATAAAACCTAATCTCACATCTTATCCCACCTTATCCCTCGTATCAAACGACCCCTTAATGCCTATCTCGGACATAAGAAAAAAGGACAGAACTCGGGCAAATCCACATGGAGAGATATGGGTGCACGTGCACGGTGCAACCATGTACTCTTTGCTAGATTATGTATATCGCTGCTATTTTTTTATTATTTTAATAGAAAAGAGCCAAATATATCCCTGTATTATTCTAAATAGTTTAAATATACCCTTTGTTTGAGTATCTGGTCAATTATATCCCTACCGTTATACTTTTGCACTAATTTGCCCCTAATTTTGACGGAGAGACAAGTGGCAACCTAAAAGTCAAATAACCTAACCCCAATATTAAAATATTCGAGTCACTTTACAAACCCACCCCTTAACTTGAACCATACCCGACCCATTCCCCTCTAAATTCTCTTTATTTTTCTTTTCATTTTCTTTCCTTAATTTTACATGTCTTGACTCTACTTTTGTCTCTTTAAATTACCCAGCAATGCGGACAATAAGCTTCCATTCTCTGCATAAAGCTTCTACCAAAAAATAAGCCATTTTCTTTCATAAAGTTTGACTTTAATTTAAATTATTCTAACAGAGTGAAAGCTATGGAAATAAGGATTTTTATATAAATAGTTGGTCATATTTATTGTTTACTTTTTCTAGTGATATACATAGTGGGAAAAGGGCCAAATTTACCCCTCTACTTTCTAATATTGTTTACATTTAACCCCTGTTATACTATCCGATCAAATTTATCCCTACAGTTATACTATTCGGCCATATTTATCCTTACTGCTAGCAAACTTTTAAAAATTACCCCAACCTTAACAAAAACCCACAATCTCCCAAATTCCTTTTATCCAAGGCATCTATCTTCTTTTTCATCCACTATCAGGAAAGAAGAGAGATAAAATGTATCGACTCGACCGGTCGTTTTGAGCAATTGCCCTTCGTTCGATGGTTGGAGGTCACGAATAGCTTCATATGGTGTATTATGACTTCCGTGTATTGTTGGTTTTGGTTTTCGAGTGATTCAGAATTGATTTGGGAGAATGATTCTCAACTAGGAAGGTTTAAGTTGGAAGAGTTGATCAAGTTCGACTTTTTGCTTATTTGATGCCGTATCAGAGTTTTAAATGGTTCCATTAGGTCCGGATGGTGATTTTTGACTTGGGCGTATGCCCGGAATTGAATTCGGAGGTCTATAGATTGATTTGGTTTGTTTTGCCAAAAGTTGGCAACTTGAGGTTCAGAAATTTCTTTAGGTTTGATCGTAGGTTGACTTTATGGTTATAAGACTCGAATTTTAATTTTGGGAGTTGAAATTGGTCCATTTTGTCATTTGAAACTTGCCTGCAAAGTTTGGCATCATTCGCAGTTAGTTTGATAGGAATCGGACGCGTGGTTGTGTTTTTAGCAATTCTTGAAGTTTATTATGGTTTTATGTGTTTTGGTATCCGATTCGTTGTTCTAGATGTTATTTTGGTCATTTGATCACGCGAACGAGGTCGTATGATATTTTTAGACTTGTCTGGATGTTTGGTGTGGAGCCCCGAGGGCTCGAGTGAGTTTCGGATTGGTTTTGTTATTATTTTGTGTGCTGGTGCCGGTTCCATCACATTTGCGAGGAAATGATCGCATTTGCGACTACCACATTTGCGAGTATTTTCTCGTTTTTGTGAACCTAAGGAAAGTTGGGCATTTATCGCAAATACAATATTGGAGTCGTATTTGCGACTTTCGGACTGTCCGCTTTTGCGATGTCTGGGTCGCTTTTGCAACTGGTTGTGTCTTCGCATTTGTGAGGATTTTGATCGCAATTGTGATCTTTGCCGAGTCTGTCAAGGGTCGCATTTGCAAAAGTCGCATTTGTGAATCCCATATTGCAAATACGACATATGCAGCTGGTTTATAACTGAGTATTTCGGGACTTAGCTTCATTTTATCATATTTTGAACCCTAGACTCTATGGGAGGTGATTTTCTAAAGAGATTTTCATATCAAACTATTGAGTAAATGGTTTTGATCCATTTTTAATTATATTACATGATTATTTATGAGATTTAACATCAAATTCATGAATTTCTAAGAAAATTTTGGGGAAATTTTGTCTATATTGTGAAAAATAAAAATTTGGGATAGGAGAGTTGAATTGGACTCGGATTTGAAAATAAAATACATATATAGACTCCTGGGTTATGGGTAGTCAAGATCTACCCTTGGACTCGGGTTTTGACCGAGAGGGCCCGAGGTTGACTTTTGGAAAATTGTGCAAGGTCATATTTTTATTAATCGTAATTGGTTTCTCTTGCATTGTTTAATGATATTAAGTCGTTTTGGATAGATTTGACCCGTGCAGAGTCGAATTTTAAAGGAAAAGCTATTTTTGAGTATTGATTTGGCCTAATTGAAGTAAGTACCTTGCCTAACTTTGTGTGGGGTAAACTACCCATTAGGACTTGGGTTGATTGTACATTGAATTATGTGAAAGACGTGTACACGGGCTTATATGTGGTATTTAACCGGTCTAGACTCTTAGGCTTCTTTCAAGCCTTTAATTGAAGTTGTTCGTACATTTTTTATATTTTATTTTCGAGTTTACTCTTATATGGCTTAATTGAAGTTATTACCTCTTTTATGTCACATATTTTACTTGCTTTTATTGTCCCTATGTTACTCGATGCACACTATTATATTATTTTGCATACGTGAGCCGTTCAGCTATTCTTGTATTGATGAATCGATAAGGTTTGGGATTTTGAGGTATTGGATATTCTCCGTTGTATTGGTGGTTCTTTAAGGTTCCGTACATTTCATCTTCTTTTGTGTTGATATTTCGTAATATTGTGTTGAGTTGTTTATGTTAATAATTTGATATTATTGGGATCAGGTTTCATGCCGCTACGGAATAGGACATGATATGATATGAAGAGAGAATGACGGATAATATGATCTTATTATATAGGTGGGATCGAGTTGCACGCAGTAACAGATATTGGTATTATTATTGGGATCGAATTTCACGCTGCAATGGATTTGATATGTTATTATTATTTATGACCGTAGATTTATCCTCAGTTGTAATTCTCATGGTACATTTTATGTCGGAACGGCCTATTGGTTGAATAGTTATTATTTTTTCTTGAATCATTTCACTTGTATTTTGATCGTGTTTGGTTAATTGTTGTTATTCTAGTATTGGAACAATAATGACATTTTGTGTGAGTCATGCATTCTACGGGATTTATTATGTTACTTTAATGTGCCAGCCTATGCCTCCATTGTTACTTGGCGAATTGATTGTCAAGATGAATTTATTTGCGGGGAGTCATCATCTCATATTCTGTTGAATTACTGGTAACATAATGGTTTTAAATAAAGAAATTGTCAACACGCTTTACTTTATGTGACTCTTAAGATAAAACTCGTCATCTCACTTGGTACTTTACTATATTTAAATTGTTATCATGCCTACTTTAAATGGTTCTCAAATTAAAAGCTTATTACCCTATTTGATACTTTACTCAAATTGTTATCACGCTTTACTTTAAATGATTCTGCATTTTTGTTAACTTATATGATGTTTTACTTTATTTTAAAAATAATATTTTACTTTACCTTATTTGATTTTTAAACTAAGCTCATTTTT